ATTATATTATGTATAATTTCTAACTAAATAAATGACCACATATCCGTGTGATATGCAGATAAACTAATGTGGTGTTTTTATGAATTTATGATAAATTGCAAGAGAACAATGGCATTACTGGATGCATTTTCAATGCATTGTTTTATAATTTTCCTTTTTCTTTTTTATGTTCAGCTGTAGTCTTTTGAAATGCCATTCATTCAATTTCTTTTACAAAGAAATTACTTTCCAGAGCAGTTGAAAGTCAAAAATAATGTTTAGAAACACAAACTTACAAGAGATTGCAAAAAATGCATTTTAACAATACAACCATTTTGTACTTCTTATTTGTAGGTTATAACTCTTTGTTTGGCAGGCTGGGTAGTAAGACCATTGGTGGAATGCTTCATTTGACTTATGCCATGGTTTGCCCAACCCAAAACTATTTGAAACGAGCATGGAGGTGGGTGGATTTACAAAGCATTATCCATCCAAAGGTGTCGGATTATGATAAACAGGTGCTGCAAAAAATGGTAATAAGTCTTTAAGGTAATCAATGGCAGAGTGCCTTGGATGTGCCATTTGGCATTACCTTTGAAAGCTTGTGAGTGAAAAGAGTGAAGGTGATATGGGGTGCGCAGCAAATGTATTATGAAGAGGATGAGGGGAGTGGCATTGCAAGGAGAAGTGCAGTGGGGTAGCTGTGCTTATTTTAATAGATGAAGTCAGGCAAATGCTAATCAGAAACTATAATGAGGGGAAAGCATAGCTAGATAATGGCAAGGCCAATCCTCCTGCTTTAACTTATTGACACTAATTATTACATTGTAACTTCTTATAAAGATGTTTTTTAATGGTGATATTTAATTAGTATTCCCAAGAGGAAGTTTGAGAGGCACCTAATTGTGTTATCTATTTTTTCAGGTAGGATTATGGAGTGTGTCATGATGATTTACAGTATACGAAAATTTAGCATTTATATGTTTTCTGATGGTCATGTTTTCTATTGACTCTCTGAGGCACTTTAATTTTATTGAATGAGATTTTAAGATTTCAGAAGACAAGGAAATACACTTGTGTCATGACTTTATAATTTGTCATGAATTATATTTTTCTTCAGGAAATGAAAAGATTTCACTTTTCAAAGGGTTTATTAAATGAAATTAACCTGATTCTACAAAAGCATATATATGGCATCTTCTAACATGGTTATGTAAAATGGTTTGGAAATAGGTAAATGTCCATGGATATACAAAATGTACATTTTTAAACTGCACACGATAGAGGCTTAAGCTAATATATGTAGCATCCAAGGAGAGGCAGCAAACAGATCCACTGAACACAGTGACTTGACAATGCAATGGTCCAATTTCATTCACAGGATGTGTTGGGAAAGCGAACCATGTAACATGGAAAACAACCATTGTCTAAAAATATTACTGATCCATATCAAACAGGGCAAAATCATTTACACTTTTAACACAATTAATTGCAGGTGAGATTGGGGTTTGTCTTGTGGCCTCACCATTCCTCTGAAACTACCATACTGTCCAGTCACCACATTTATTATTTATCTGTTCCTGTGAAATCTTAATACGATTAAACTTACTGTTTTAAAGGATACTAATATGTTAGCATCCTAGAGCATGGCAAATGTTTTCACTGCAATGCAGTGTGACCTGACCACAATTCTATTCATAATACCCATTTAAAACAACAAGCCCGAACATCAGTAAGTTTATTTATTTATTTATTTATTTATTTTACCAAAGCTGTGTAGTAACAGGCTGTAATCTCTAAATGACCTTGTTTAGTGTGCTCACCACAAGTCTGATAAAGGACAGGTAAGTTAAGATAAGAAAAATGCAGCATAGCTCAATGCAAATCTCCTAATAACAAAATATCACAGGGCACAAACTGCTATTTTATGTCATTTATATAACATGCACAGTTTCCGTGCTTATATTTCAATGTCCAGTGTTTTTTAAAAGATTCAGTGCTGTGTTGTCTTATTGGTCTTATTGGTTAGTACAGTTTTTTCTAAAGGAACATTGCTTTTGTTACTGGAGGAGCTTTTGAGGGATGCCAAGGGAGCTGTATTGTATTTGCCCCCAAACCCTGCAAGTACTGGGAATTTATCAGTGTTAGTAAAAATGCAATTCTGTTATATTTCCTTGCAGGCCTTCCTTTTTCCTACAGCTTTTTCATGCCTGCTGGCTTGCATTCAAAAAAGAAAGGGGACAAAAACATAGTGGTCTTGTCATTCATGTTCTAGATAAGTTTGTTTTATCGCTTGTGTATTTTAGTTAAATATAAGGTATTAGTTAAATATATATATATATTTGTCATATATTCAGATTCCAAAAATATCCAGCCTCAGCCCTCCATGTGTATTATGTAAATGTCCTTTGAATGACATACAGTTGTATTCACTTGTAGCCTTTGGAATTGGGCATATCCATCTGTATGTGTTAAAATGGCCCCAAATAGCCCCCACAATGTGAAAACAACCTGTTATTTTGACGTTTTTCAAGTTCCCACAAAGATTTATGAATGCAATCATAAAACTAAAAATGCCAAAAGTCTTGTATTTTGTTTGATTACTTATGATAAGCTTAGGGCTGGTTAGGAGTTAAGGGTGTCGTAATTGAAAAGGAGAGGGAAGGAGTGTTTGCTGATACAGCACACTGTCTCACCCACCACACAACAGACCACCTCATTGATGAGTTGATGAGAACCTGAGCGCAGCCATGTGGTGGGTGATACGGTGATACCGCAGCACCACACTAGTTCGAATGGTATGGAACAGTACGAAGTTTTATTTATTTATTTATTTTTCCGATGGCTGGAGTGATTAGGATTGGGGTTATTCCCATAGAAATGAATGGAAGGTCCCCATTTAGATAGATACCCCAACGCGTGTGTGTGTGCGTGTGTATATACACTCACCTAAAGGATTATTAGGAACACCTGTTCAATTTCTCATTAATACAATTATCTAATCAACCAATCACATGGCAGTTGCTTCAATGCACTTAGGGGTGTGGTCCTGGTCAAGACAATCTCCTGAACTCCAAACTGAATGTCAGAATGGGAAAGAAAGGTGATTTAAGCAAT